TCAAACGTGCAAGAAAACGCAATTTGAAACAATTCTGGAGTTACCGGTACTATCGATATTTATTATATATTTGGTCTTACAATCATACTAAATAATGGAACGTTTTTTTTTAAATATAAATTTATGGTCGGTCACAAGGACTGATGGTCTTTCACACCTCTAGGCCCTTTACACCCACTGTCGGCGTGAGGCCGACGGACCGACGTTAATTTCGAACACTGTGGGCAACATAAATTTGTTATGTTGTTTAATTTTTTGTTTTCCTGTGACTCAAAGTTCGGTTATCAGTTAATTTAAATTTGAGTTATTAAATTTGAACATTAAACAAAGCAACAAATCTGTATTGCCGTACCGAGGTTTAGTAACTTTTTAATAAAGTTGAGCTACTAAAAGTGGACGTTCAACAAAAACAAAAATATATATTGCCTGTAACTCGAAGTTTTGCTAATTGAACTGTTAATTGAACATCAAGTTACAATTTGGGCGTGGTTTCTCAAAAGTGTGTTTCTAAAAAATAGGCATGGTCATTTGTGTAACTCAATGTATGATAACTCGATGTCTGTGACTTGAACAACTCAGCATCTTGGAATACATACATGGAAGAAAGTGTTGCTTTGCTAACAGATAACATACTAACCTGACTCCAAGGCACATTAACAGCTGAAATTTTCCATCTTTACCGATATTATTTGATGTGTTATTGATCTTTTTCACAAAATGACAAAACATTCTCCTTGCATGTCTTTCATCTTGAGGACCTCTTTTACCTTCATCATCATTGTCAACACTCTCAAAGTATGTGCTGACTTTTTCTGCAATGGTAATAAATGAGGACAGTCAAATAGCAAAGCTACTTATAAGATTGTGCCTGATTGGCCACCCATCTCTGAAAACTAACATTCTGACCAATCAAAGAGCAGCTTGTTTGTTGACAGGTTTTTTCAATGTATCAAATTCTGCTTTGTATATATGCTTTGACTCAACTGGATATGTCAGAATTTGAAACCACATGACATTATTGCTGATGTAATATGAGCTCTTTTGTTGTCATAGGTCATTCGTCATCTAAACCCAAGCCATGCATGGCACAGTCCCTGTTAGTTATCAAAATTAAGATGTATAGTTTTGTTTATAGTAATATAGTGTGAACATAAACATGTCAGAGATATGGATTCAAAAGCTGATGCTTGATTATGATGATTCTTTCCACAATAACGATTGACATTCTGTCATTGTGTATCTGATTGTCAAACAAGTTCATATTGAGAGATATTGCTCTGGAACAGCATTAATTAAAACAAAATGGCCACCAGTCAGCCATTTTGATTGTGATTTGAAAAACAAAATGACGTGTATCAGTGACCCATAATATCTAATGTATGTACCAAGTACAAATGAAATCCATCCATAAACAACCAAGATTCATTATGGAAATGCCAAAAATGCTTGATTTTTGATGATTTTCCAACACGAAAATGGTCACCATTCGGCCATCTTGAATCAAATCGTGAAACAAATTGGTGTGCATATGTATATGTATGTGTGAAGTATGAATGTACCGGTAATTGGCCAAAGATATAGGTCTGGGCACATACATACACACACATGCAATAAGGTCAGTCAATAAGTCCTTGTTTTCGGACGACGTCCTTAATTTAGGTATTATAATAACAGTTAGTAGTTATCATATATTACTGAAAATTATTATGTACTTCCTGTAGTCACACAGGTCTATTTAGTCACCTCGAAGTCTATATACAGTAGTTTTACAGGTCACATATGTTGATTCAACACATTTCGGAGACTAAATATATAACCATGAGATCCGAGTTATTCTCTGTGAATACTCACCAATGAAATCCCAGATGAAAAAGTTATTTCTGAATAACCTTGTTGATTTAAAACCATATTGGAAAACTTGATCTAGGCACTGAACAAGACCTCTCTCTCCACACAGTAAAAGTGTCAGGCTGCCTCTCTGAAACCATTAAAATAAGCATTATACTAATCTTGTTGTATGCACTCGCAACAACATACAAGTATTCTACTACAAGCTTCTACTTTACTAGGCACAATGGCTAATTAAATATTTTTTTAATTAGCCGATTGCCAAATTGCTTGGCAAATGGTGAAAAAAAAACAAAACAATCATGTAATTTTATCAGACTTTAGTAGCAAATTAAAATACGCTACTACAACACATACCGGTACTTTAATTTACCTTTCTATGGATGAAGGCATGTTTTCAAATGACTGATTACTTAGAATTTTTCATGGTTTGAAATTTGTGTTCGTCATTGGTGGTACATTCGACATCCTTATTTTGCAGACCAGTTTAAATGTTACTGTAGAATACTTTATTTTCACTGGAATTAATTTTCGCTGAAAAGGCTTTTTGGGCGTTTTGCTTGTAATTTATTTTCACTGATTTTTGATGCGCTTAGTGTGGAATATAGGAAAAAAAGTATATTCGCTGGATTTTATTTTCACGGAATCATCCCGTCAACGAAAATAGCGAAAATAAATTGCAAGCGAAAATAAAGTATTCTACAGTATTCAGCATTGCCGTCTGGTGAAGAGTTGGCTAAATCCAAAACAGTATATAAATCTATTTTTAAACAATGACAACTCTGGTTTGTAGCATACCATAAATGGCTTTCACAACATTGAATACATGATGGAACATTTCTCTGAAAATTTATAGATACGTTCCCTTATAATAAGAAGTGAATGATTCTCACCTCTTTTTCTGGTTTATAAAAATACTTGACAATATTATTAACAGCGTCAGTCAACATTTCCTGTATCTGTGGGATTGTTGTCTTCTGCGGCGTCCCCATACTTTTTCTAATTGTCACCGGCGACCTTTGACATGGTGGTGTCCTGCATGACGTCATAATGTCTTCCGTATCCATATTGGTTGGAATGAGCTCCCCAACTAGTAGTCTTTCTAAACTCCCATCATCCACTCCTTTACCAAGCCATCTCCCACATGAAAACCTAAAGTTATAAGAATTGTATTCTTGTTTGTTATAGGTTATACATGTATACCATTGGTGATACAGAACCAAGAAATGATGATTTTGTGTTTTGAGATTTATAATGTATTTCCACATTTACATGTAGAAGAATATGTATTTTAATGAAGGTGTGCAGTTATCAATGTACCTTATGTTACAATACATTATACTTACTTAAAAGTGTGGCCAGTCAATTCATTTCTAACTAAGATGTAATCAATCATCCATTTTGGTGATATACCAGAGTTATCATGTCCAATTCTAACGGTACTCAGAACTCCAAGATTTCGATGCTGAAAGCAATATAAATATCAATTTATTGATAATAATAACTTGAATTATCTCAAACGACGACATTGTACAAAGCAGGAATATTATAAATCAACTTGTTTTCTTGTAAACAACTTGAAATGCTGTCTGATTGCTTCATTTGCAAAGTATGAACTGGTAATATTCCATTGCTGCCATTTATTATTATTGAAATTTAATCTCAGGACTTTGCTAAAAAGTCCAACTTGCTTGAGCTTTAACTTCAATATTCTCAGATGGCGCTCAATTATGAGGGTGAACTATTTGTCTACTTTTGAACAATAAAACAGCATATTAACCTAAAACTCTAGTACACAATTTGCAATGCTGTCTGATTACCGGTACTTCATTTGTAAAACATAAACTGGTAATATTCCAATGCTGCTATTTATTATTATTGAAATTTAATATCAGGACTCAAAATTCATAGCTGCTATATCATGAAAGTGATTGCTAAAAGGTCCAACTTGAGCTTTAACTTCAATATTCTCAGGTGGCACTCAATTATGAGGTTGAACCATCAAACTAATATATATTGTGTTGAAAAATATTTGTCTACTTTGAAGGACACTGCCATATTTGCTTTACTTGAAGCGTATCTCCAATAAAACTGCATATTAACCTAAAACTGTATTTGCTGTATATGCTTGATCATTAAAAAGGATAAATACCCCTTTACAGTACATGACTAATAGAGCAAATACGATAGCTATTTTGGTCTGAGACCTAGTAGTTATGAAAGTCCATCAGATCAAAAAACAAATGTAGGTCTTAATTAGTATAACATAATTTCCTGACACAGAGATCATTTTATGACAATGCAGAATGCATGCTGTCCATGCACGTTTGCCGGACAGCAAACTCTATGTTGATTTTACGTGTAGGTCACCAATATTCAACAATTCTTCATACAAAGAAAATTACGATAAAAGTCAGATTAGGAGGACATTCTCCCAATATTTTAATCTAATTTTATCACCCCTAACAAATTTACTGTTGAAAATAAAAATAAAGCACTGGCATGAAAACAATATAGACTCATTTGGAGATATTCTCCATTTTGAAAAAAACAATTTCTTGCTAGTATTTGAAACTTCTCTTTTATTACACTTTTCACCACAGCTATGTGATATCTCACCTCAAATGTCAGCTCCACTGCATTCTTTGGTAGTTGTATGATACCAGTATCTCCATGTTCCCCTGCAACACTGATCCACGGATTGGCAGTTGTCGCTGAATTGAATTTACGACTCACAAACAATAGCACCTTGTATGTCATTGCTATAATACAAATACACAAAATTTGATAAATTGGCAGCAAACTTAAATTCTACCACTACATAAAATCTGTATTAAAAGCCACATTCCTAATAGAAGTCGCACCTATGTTTATGAACAATTGAGAACCAAAAATTCACCATTTTTTTCCCGTTTAGATGCTCCATTAGAAGCCAACTCTAACTTCATTCAGACTTTGTGGTGCAGTTACAGAACATCTTGACATAACTTAACTCCCAAGCTGGCTTTCAGAGGGTTTTGCTTTCTTGTAATAACATACGATTTATTCATTGACAGACATAGTAGATTTCATGTTGGCCAGGAGTATCTAACATAGTAATCATGTTCAAAGCAAATGTAATCCCTCCATTTAGAAGGAGGGGTTCAAAAGTAATTTTAATTACTGCGTGCAAAAATCACATAGCTAATTTTTTTTGTACTTGACAAGTTTTGTTTATGAGGGAAGGGTGTGCGACTATTATAAGCTGTTAATCATTGAAAGCCCCAAATATGAGAAGTATTTAGCTGAATGGTTTTAAAATCAAGCTAAGCTAAGCTAGATTATCAAAGAAAGCTTAGAAAGAACTCCCGTGTGCTGAGAGTATTGAAGACACATTAAAAATTAATTCAAAATTACTTGTACATGAGATATTGATAGAAAAGCTGAAAACTAATTATGTACATCAGGTAACTAATATGAACAGAACAGAACAAAAAAATTATGAATTATTATGCTAATTAGAGAATTAATATGAACAAATTTTAACCCAAAATTAATCAGGCCTGTCTATTGTCCTAGAGCATTTATGTACCAAATTTTATTCAAATGTGATGATCAGTAATTGAGATATCAGTGTTAATTAATTATGTTAATTAGGAGATTAATAAGCATAAATATTTACCAAAAACTAATTGGGTTTCTGCATAGTTCTCTTTAAAAGTTTCATTAAAATCCAATTTGTGGTTCTTTATATATCAGTGGAA